CCTGTGGACCTTAAGTCTACACGTCTTATATAGCCCTAGGGCTGAGAAAGGACGTTAAATAAAAAAAATAATAATAATATAAAACGAGTGACCCGTATCGTTCTAGATGAAAACCGAGATAATATAGCAATCAGGACACTAATTAGTCGTACTCTATATGTGCTTAACATCTACATGGATCACTAAAAGAAGGCCCCTTGCAACACGTGTTGCATGGTGTGCAGCCATATTGGCAACAGATTCCGTTGTTCTTGTCGCAGCAATTATTGAAACAATCATTATTGTCGCGGCAAGCGGCTAAAATGATCGAATTAGCAGCCCGTTTGCGAGATTTTGTACTAATGTCAAAAATATACATACCCGCTGCAAAACCGAAGAGCAGAGCAAATTGAATGAGGCGCATTTTTCTGCTGGTAACTTTCACGATATCGAAAGGAGGGTTAGGAAACTAACTAAGCTTTGATGATTTAGCTTGAAGATGAAAACCGGTATTGTGAGACGTGAAGTGATTGAGAGTATTTTTGTCGTTTGTCTGGTGATGATCAAGTGTCAGCGAGTAAAGGAGAAGGTGTCTTAAATATCTTGAGCGGCGATTGCAGCACATTGTCGGACATATTCGCATATTGATTGCTGGTAGACCAATCCGTACTTTCTCTCACGCTCCAGGACAGTCTGGACCCTTGGCGGTGGCTCGGCCCCGGGAATTCTGGGTTTTCCTTGTCAATGGGACGGCATTGGTAATAATCTGAGTTTCTGAAAAATTGAAACTAGAAGCGGTAGCAAACCTACTTCCGCTAGAAACGTGGTTAAGCTAAGCCATTTTTGCAGGCTGCAGGGGGGTTGGAAATGTTATGTGCCGTGGATGACGACGCGACGCAGGTTGTGAAGCGTAGTTAAGAAGTAAGCTAAGTAAGCATGGTGTCATTCCTCACCGCCAGCAACACCCTGCTAAGTTGGACATGAACCTTACAGCTCGACAGATATGGTGAACCTTGCTGTGTATCAAGGCATTTCATTACCCCGTCGATACCAAGAGCTCTCCACGGAAAGGGTGGGACGATGCATTGCCTGACTTGCCTGATCGGATTCGGGATGAGCTAGTAAGCAACCTTGGGCACGGTCTGGCACGGTCCGACTGTGCTCTTAAGAAAAAGACAATAAGGTGGATACCAGCCCACACCGGCATCCCAGGAAACGAGACTGTCGACAGGGCCGCCAAGGAGGCCACATGATGGAGAGAGGACGGCAGTAGACAAACGTCAGCAGATGCGCCGCCCAGGCTCTATTCAATCAGATCAACCGTCAGGCGCTGGTGCAGGACTCAAACGAAGCGAGCATGGGCAGCTAAGTGGCGAGCAGAGGCGAAAGGCCGAGCAACCTACAGACACACACCGTGGCCTACTAAGAAAGTACTTCAGATCCACGGAGGCCTTACTAAACAACAGAGCGCGCTGTTAGTGCAGCTGCGCACCGAGAAGATAGGCCTGCGCGACTTTCCCTTCATCCAAAGAGTGCCAGGGCTTACCAGCCCCCGCTGTCAGTGCGGAGAGAGACGACAGACTGTCGCCCACATCCTGCTCCACTGCAGGACGCTCAATAACCTCTGGAACCAGGTATTCCGCAACCTCCGCGGGCGACACAACCTCCGGGCCATCCTGAATAAGCCATAACTAGCCACTAAAGCCATCCAGTTTGTAGAACAAGCGCAGATCCTTGGGCATGTTGGGATCGGAGACGCGTAGATGACAGCCGAGCACGGGGGGCGAGACCGTAGGTATCGCGGCCGCAAAACACGAGGCAGCACTCTTCTACGAGCCTATAAGCACAGCACACTGTTAGTAGAACCATTGTCTAGATACGATGCCACCCAGATTGTAGATAGTGGTGGAGGGGAAACGGCAGGCCTCTAGGAACAGCTGGCTCCCATAGGGGAGTGACGTGGGGCGGTACGGATCAACGTCTGCGCGGCGTCGGCTGTTGCCTAACTAATACGGGGAAAATCCCCCAGTATCTGACAGAGATGCGAGACGTGTCAGACGGCAAAAGGACAACGCATCACTCTACAGATTAGGCCGGTGAATAGTTAGTTAACGTTTTGGATCAGTAAGTTAGTTAACTAGTTATTGCTTATGTCAGACCCGACAAAAGCAATAACTATTTACCATCCTAAAGTCCGTCCCTATGAGCCGAAAACCCCTGTGTGCCGAGAATGGCCAATCGCATCGACAGAATCACAGACTTCCTCATAGCCGTTGCGATCCAGTTGGTTGTTTTCGGCACACATGGTTTTTCGGCTCACGGGGACGGATTTTACTACAGATTCTGATCTTGACACATGATGAATTTCACTATCTTTGAGAACCTCCCACAATCTAACAGCTCTATAGCTTCTAGCTGTTTCACCCTAACCTAGATCAAGACTAGAGAAGCATAGTCTAACTCCGTGTAACACCTATCAAGTAGCCTCTTGATCTTAACATCGACCAGCCCACGCGCAAGAATAGGTAGGCGCCCCTTGGCAGCAGTAGGCAGCACCATTTCTGCAATTGCAACTTTCGCCGCTAGGGCATGATACACTGCATGATTGGCGTATCTGCAACAGCTCTCGAGCTTCGATTCCGGTAAGACGTTGTGCAGGCTCCGGGGTGGCCACAACAATAGCAGCCATAAGAAGAGATAGGACAAAATACTTCATGGTGAATAATTTGTTGGTTGATAGCGAAGTTGTTTGTAGTGACGTTGAGGAAGATTGAGAATGATAGATGGTTGTCGTGTTGAGAGAAGAAGCCGTACACTTTATATAGAGCTAGTGCCCCTAGAACATTTACATGATAGATACCTAGTGAAAAGCATAATCTATCGTTAGAATGGGCAATAGCCAAACTGATCAGCAGATTCATTTGTCAATATGCCGTGTGCAGGGGCTTCACGGCCATACATGTTAACAACAAAGTTAGTTAATAAAGCCCGTCTTACCTAATACCGGAGTGTAACTAGTTACCACCTTTTCTAGGTTAAGAGCTTACTAAACCTGGCTAGATCAGTCTGGTTAGTTTACGAGGGTGTCAAGCCAAAGTTTTGTCACTCCGACGCTATATAACGTTTTGCTCACGATTAGCTAAAAACCCTAGACTCGAGACTTTGCAAAGCTGTAATTAGCTGAGCATGGTATTCAATCACTTAATCAAGTTTGGAATAACCTCTTAAGCACGGCCCCGGTTACAAAACTTTGACCTACGAACTTCATATCAACAACTCTGTCCTCGGCGTTACAAGAAACTTTGTTGAACGTTACTAAATGAATTTTCTAATAAGCTTTATTTGATGCACCTAAGAAAGCGAAGTGTTGAGAGTCAAAGTACCCCTCATTTGTTCCAGTGCGGCGGGTGGCCAACACTCAGGGACGTACGTTATGACATACGAGATTTCGGTGACTCTAACTCGCCTTAACTCTACTCAAAGTTTACTTGATATAGTGTAAGCGCGGCTATATACTTACTATTGGTGGATTAGATATCATCCGAGCAGTTATACTTTGTATTATGAACTTTGTACGTCAGATACAACGAATACCGACCCGAAATTCAATCATAACTTAGAGACGTCAACGTAATCTTCACAAGAAAGTTTCAATATCCAAACTATATTTGTCTTACAAGAGACCAATAGTGCCAGATTTCATGTATTTAAAGCGTGTGCTCCGGTTGTGACTGTTGAATATCATCATCTTACACCCAAGACCTTTTCTCAATCACTACCAAGATGCAGTTCCCTCAGTTCTCAATTCTTACTATCTGCCTCTTTGCAGTAGCAGCCATCGCCAATCCCGCCGCTGAACCTATGCCGCAAGAGAAACCAGCTTGCTGTGCAGCTCAAAACCCAGCCCAAGCCTGTAACTTTGCTCGCTACGGAAATATTTGCGGTTAGGATCAAAAAAGATCTAACGCCAAAAGAACTTTGAACTAGCTTGACAGAATTTCTGAGGTAGAAGATTCCTCTTGTCTGATGAACAAAGAGGCTAATTTTTACAGTTCGGTCTAGCAGGTCAAGAAGGACATACAATCTTCAAACATGTCGCAAGGTATCAGAGAGCCTTTATCTAATCGCTCCCAGGTAGGATAGTTAACCTAAAGTGGTAGGCGTAGATTGAATGGAACAGACATAACTTATGATATGAATTTTGCGCCTGTGGGATGCCCGTGTGAAGATCATCCTTAGATAACCTTGTATAACAGGCTGAAAGCCCTCCGGCAGAGCCCATCGATAAGATTTCAATTAACGTGTACAATGGGCACTTAGACTATCCTTCAGGCCCACGTTTACCTGACAAGTGAACAAAGGCACCCGTAGCAAGTAATACTGATTGTTAGTATAGCGAAGGCATTGGCATCAGCATTAGCTACAACAGTAGTCTAGCGGATAGGTCTAGCATGCATTATAGCTTCATCTCCACTTTCCTCAAGTAAAATCAAAATGTTAATTTCACAGCAGTAACCTACAATTAGTGATAACAAGGGAGGAAAACCCAATATTGTGCCAACGTAGTACTCGGCCCCAACGGTTACTTCGTAAAATCTCAAAAGATTGGCCGTGCGTTGCACGGCCCACCCACCCCAAGGGAAATGCCCACCCCAAGGGCAATAAATCACTTTAGTCGCAAGTTTTAGTATATTGATACAGAATTTTAGATAGAAAAATTTGTTATTTCTTAGAGTTATATTCTAAGATGCTCCCCAGTCATTTTGACTACAGCCACTATATGCGTCGCTGTTGTAGTCGCGATCATAGTCACTACTGCCCGCGCAGCTAGCCATCTTATCTAGTATTATTGAGCTTAAAGGTGGCTGTTGCGACTCAATTTTTGGGCAAGGAGAATCGCTTTGGTATATATCTAGTAGAACGTCTTCCTCATCTACTGTATTGTTATCGCTGCTGTCATCTTGGTGTTGAGAGAGCTGGCAGAGCAGCCGGTACGGGCAGACTTGGTAGCGGACTGCCGCAGCTACCTCTGCTGCCCCTGTATTATCAGTTGTGAGCACGCTCTCGTTATACTTAACGCTACGATCCTCTTGCACGCGCTGCAATTTGTATTGCGCCTTAGTATTGTAGTTATAGTTATTGATAGCGTACTGCCAGCGCGTAGCATCACACATTACTGTGACGCCACTAGCTGCGCGCTTGAGGTATTTCTTGCCCTGATTCCGTATTGTAGGCCGTATACGCTTCCATTTATTAGCAATTATTGTTACCTCACGAAGTGATCTTGTAGCAAGCTCTTGTTCTAAGCGGGCGACGTCGTTAATCTGGCGGCGTTGTACTATTGAGCGCGCGTCTTGCGAGTAGATAGGTCCACCGCCCGCTTCAAGAGCACGACGTTTACGACGACGGCGCTCGCCTTTAGCAAGTTGCGCTGCCTCTGTATAGTGTAGCTCGCGCTGTAAGCCCCCTGCGATACGCGCAATTGCTGAGACACCACGCTGGTGTTTAATAACGCCAGCAGCAACGTCGCGTGGGAGATGCTCACGAAGCGCGGTGTAGACAAAGGGCTCTTGCGCTTGAATCTGGCGGATAGTTTTTGGTGTAACCCATGCAGCGTCGCCGGGTCGTGGGTTCTCTGCCTCTGGTGTTATGTCCCAGTCAAGCTCATCGCGCTCTCCTCGCGCGCGCCGCTGTCGTCGGCGCGCGCTCAATTGCTCACCCTGTAGCGCTATCCGAACTTGTGTAAAGCGCTGTAGCGGTAGTAGGCATGACGGTGATGAGCCTAAAGACGGCGAAGAGCTTTGTATGTATGGTGTCGTCTGTCGCAACTGAGCTGGTGGTGGTGTAGCGCGCTCGTACTCGCTGTCCGTGTCGAGCAGCTGCAACTGGTTAAGTACAAGCTCTGGCTTCCACGGAGCAAGACCAGTTCGCCGCCAGCCGCTCTGTATAGTAGTGCGTGTGAAGGTAAGACGCCGGATCTCAGCAAGAGTCGCTAGAAAGTCTGCCTTGTTAATGTCTTTTGAGCCAGTGCGAGACGCCCACTCTAAGCAGCGGCCGTGGTACCATTTGAGTGGTTGAAAGCAACCAACGTCAAGCGGTTGGAGGAGGTGAGTAGTGTGGGGTGGTAGCGCAAAGAGCTGTATATACTGCTGCTCAGCGTATTCGATAAACTCTCTAGTCGAGTGAGAGCCGTGTCCGTCTACTAGTAGTAACCGCCACGCGCCAGTAGACCGCTGCTTCGTCCGGCGATCAAAATGCTTCAACCAGGCGAGCGCAAGCTGATCGTTGCTATAGCCGCTCTCTGAGATCGCAATAAGGTAGTTGTCAGGCAGATCAACTACCCACTGCTCCACAATTGTTGCTGCCTTGATAATAACCATTGGTTCAATTGCAAAGCCAGTAGAACAGACGCATTCAACAAGAGTAATAAGCTCGCGGTTATTAGCGTTGGCAACAAAGACTTGCCGGCCGCCAATACTGTATACATACTGGCTGCTTGCAACCCTAATCCGACAACTAGTCTCATCCATATTGTACATGTCGTTAGGTTGTACGCCAAGCTGCTCTATAGTAGCTTGAAGCTGCTCAAACCACTGGCGCAACGCGTTAGGCTGTTGCGCCAGCATACGCTGTACTTCCATCGGCTTGCTCCTAACGCGGCGGTACTTTTGATGCCTCTGTAGCCAGCGTCGCGCCCAGTTATGACCTAGTGGCGGCGGTGATTCGTCTGGTCCCATGTACGACTCTTGAAGCAACGCGTAGGCTTGTTGCGCGATCATGCGGTGGTGTATACCAAAGCCAATAGCATTGATTGCGTCAAGATAGCGCTCAAGAGCAAGATCTTGGGCGTCATTTAGCCGGTAGTTAGTTGGCTTTTTATCGCTGCGCGTAGGCGCGTTGTTATAGGCGCGGAGGAGACGTTTATAGCCTAAGTTGTGGACTTTTGCGTAAGAGCTGATGTTTGGCTTTAGGTAACTATGAAGCTTTGCCGCGTGCTCTTTGTATAACGCCACCTCTTTTCTATACCTTAAAGCTGATGAATTACTCTTTGGCATATTGTGAAACTTTCTGCTAATTTAGATTCTAATTATCTAATATTGTAGTAGAGTTAGTATGATGTTGTATCTAAGTAATGCCCTTGGGGTGGGTATTTCCCTTGGGGTGGTAGGCCCGTGCAACGCACGGGCAATTTCTTGAAATTTTCGGAACGAACCATTGGGCCCGAGTAGTACAAGCGTTGGACTGATACAAACGCCGTACTAGTACAAAATACTATGCTTATGGACTGGTACGACCTTCATAACAAGAAGGTAATCCCGTAGATGAATGCTAACAAGGATTTCTTCTGGTCCCAATAAAGGGCTTAACTACTAAAATAGAATAAGACGTGTACCCGCACCACTTGGGATGCTAATTAGCGCGACAACGTATTTATGGCAACACACGTCACTCTGCTTTCCTAGCTTACTGTAAGAAATGGTGCAGGTCTAGACCGAAGACTCGTCGCAAGGCCGAGCGACACGGCAGAGACCACACGGATCGATCTTGATTCCAACATCCCAAGTGGTGCATCAGTCTCACTAGCTGTTGTGAACAGAGTTGTCAACGATCAAGCTCATCAAGTCGAGCTAACGCGATATTGTAATGAGTAGGCCTAAAAAAGCTAGCCTATTATCATATCACGTTAGCTCGATTTAATGAGCTTGTGTGTTGACAACTCTGGTTGTGAAACTTCTTCTGTTAGTGTAAGCAGCTCTCTGGAGCACCTAGTTAAGCAGCTTATGCTTCCTAAATGAGCATATGCGCAAAACTGAGTGATGGATCTCGAACGAACTTACCCGTACATTCTCATGCACTTGCAGATTCCGGTTTCTGTGAACAAGCAACCGTTGATCACACGCTAAGCGCCTCTCGCTTAGTGGTAAGCGCTGCTACAACGGTGGTCTGGTGGATAGGGCTAGCATGCATTACATCCTCATCTCCCCCTCCCTCAAGTAAACTGAAAATGTTAAGCTAACAGAGGTAGTCTATGATTAGTAATAGTAAGAGGAGGAAAACCTAAGGTTGCACTAACTTAGTAGTGAGGAGAAACAAGAAAATAGAACGACCCTGAGTCCGAAACGCCAGTCCGCTAATAGTATCCCACCTAGTTGTTTAGTTCTTTAGGCTTATTATCATCAGGATGATTTCCCGCATCTCTGTCCTTCTCCCAGCACTGTACCCACATCTCCAACCTTCTTGGGGGGCCTGGGTGTAACGGATTAGCCGCATGAAAATCTCGGAGTCTGTACGGGCTATTCTTGAAGTTAGACGCATTGTACCACTCCAGATCCTTCTCATATCCTAGCCATTTGACACGGTACTGTAGCTTTCTGCGATGGACACGGGCATTGAGAATCTTCTCTACCTCATATTCGTCGTCGTCGTCGTCGTCGTTCGCAGTGTCCTGCGTGCGCTTCCGCTTATGCTTGTGCGAGCGATGTTTACTGCTGTCATTGCTGCTGTCATCGCTGCTGTCATCGCTGCTGTCATCGCTGCTGTCATCGCTGTAGCAGATTTTGGCATCGTATCCGCTGCACGGTGGTCCTGAAAGAGGTTTTAGGGCCAAAGGACGGTTAGAGAACTGCCTACCACCGGAGGGGAGTAGCCTTCGCTGCTTCGCTGGGCGCACGTTGTGTTTGAGGCGCTGCTTCGATGTCATGTTTGACGATCGAATGTGCCGCTTAGTTGGCGAGAAGCGTTTCCGCTTGCGGGTCAGCCACGCAGTCTGATTACCGCGATCATAGTGATCGTCATCGGTATCGCTGCTACTACTACTACTACTCGTGTTTTCAATCGTAGGAGCGCTGCCTTGCGTTGACTGTTCGATATTCATCTTCGACGAGCTCGTTGGCGGCGTTGATGGAAATTTGCGACGCGGGAACCCACTCATTTGAGTCTTTTCTTTTCCAACCGCATCAGAGTCGATGACATTTTTTGTCTCTATAGGACACTCCCCGCCGCGAAGATCAGAGGCTGTGATGCTCGAAACTTCAAGCCGATTGCCTATCTGCGTACCTGCATCATTTTCGTGCGAGTCGCCCTCGTTTGTATCCACGATGGGCTGACTATCTTTCATAACGACCGTATTTTCTACGTAATGTCAGAAATGGTGTGCAAGAGCCACTATCACGATCGCACTCCGGAACTTGCCTTGAGTAACGTTTTCAGAAGGAGCTGGCTGGTTTGAGCTCTCCTCCTCTGTGCCTTCTCCCAAGTTTCGCTTAAACTCTTCGCCTTCACTTTCGTTCTGGGGCGCAAAATCGTCGCAACTGCTAATATCACTATCTCCTCCATCTCTGCTACCGCTGATATCGCTGTTGTCTTCTCCAAATATGGTTGTGTTAGTCGTTATAGAACACTGGAATAAACACAGTATGGCTACGCCAGCTGTAGGGATGCCTACCTAAATATGTCAAATCAATGACTTCGACTTCGTCCGACGTTGGTACAAGATCCTCTTTGTTCTCCAGGTGAGTGTTCGATCTTGGACTGTGTTTGTTTGACAGGGCCTTTGAGAGGTTCCAAAGAGAGGTTTGCTTAGGCTTTGGAGGCCCACTGTACTGTATTATTTGAAGAGAACCTTGTGCGTGAGGTATGGAAAAAGTGTTAGAGAGCAATGCCATCGCTGCTGTTGTGGCTCGAGGACGTGCTGGTGCTGCGAGGAGAGAGGAGACGCAGAGGTTTAAATAGGCAAAGAGACCATGCTTGAGGTTTCTCTTATTATGTGAATCCTTTCGGAGAGCCCTCTGGAATAGCATTTAGCGCCCATCAGGCAGCAGCCCGTACGAGACCGTGCTCGAAACTGCACACCCTTGCCAGCGGCATATTAGACTAGGGTTGAATCAGCTTCGCGTCGTGTACCCAAATGTATCATGCGACTGCGAAGTGTCGGCGGCGATGAAGCCTTCGCATGAAGCCCCTTTCTTCTTGAATGGAAACATGAGCAAATCTCCCACCAACAATCGTACTGGAAATGAGGAAGTATAATGCATTCCTAGGGTTCACGCTGTGTTACAGGTCCTGCCCCTTTCCCATCAGAGCCCGTCTTTTCAGTAGGGAGATTCCAACCCGCGTTTTTTAGCTCGTCGGCCACTCCGAAACCCAGATACGGGTTCAAACCCGTGTTCAGACTCTAGACGTCAGGCTTTGGGCGGCGTGAGCCACACAGTACAGAGAGATTGGCGCCCAAGCTGTGCTGAAAGCCCGCTCTAGCCTTCACTACCCCTGATATGTAATGCCAGAATAGGACATCGCCATCATGCAGGCAGTCACATGAACCCAAGCTCTACCAATCTGTATTGCGGCGCAGTCTCGGGAAGTACATGCCTGACCGCTACCTGCATAGCTGAGTAGCGGGTCAGACTCTAGCTGCGGCTTTTCTGGCGTGACTTTTTAGTGAAACTGGGCTCGCGGTAACACTTGGACGGTTCAAATCCAATCATTTCCCTAAGGCTACATGCCAATGTAACCTCGCTAGGTGTATAGCTGGGGTTTTGCTGGCTTAGTGCCTCGTGTTGAGACGTAATCGTGGATTCCGAAGCCCCTTTGCTGCTGATCCGTGTAAGCGATGACGTGGAAGATCGAGGATGAGCAGACTGGGAAGGACGTTCGCTTTTGAGAGAGTGAAAGTTAAGGAATGGTTGCAAACTGTTCATGAAAGCCCTGATGCAAAGACTTCCCACCATGAGACGGGCGAGAGAGTTGGAGTGGTCAAATTTCAGGTAGAGACAGAGCTGCTCGTAAGGTAGTCGGGAAAACATGTTGAGAGGGTCTGACAAAGGACACAGCGCAGAGGCATAATCGTGGATCCCAAAGGAGGGGGTAGGGTGGATGAGACAGCCAGGCAGTGCAGCGATTGCATGATTTCCAAGGGAACGAAAATGCCTCACAGATTCAGTCCGAGCGACCAATAGGAAGGAGTGAAGTGGAGGGAGGAAAGGGACGATAGTGGGAGGTGAGTAGGACGGCGAGGGGAGCGTGGTTATATCTGATGGGGTCAGCGCACGGGCCAAATTGTAACGGGCTGAACGCCCTTTGGAT